TCGTTGAACAATGTCATCTGTAGCAACAGACTTGCGTCCTTGACCCCTTTCATCATGCACATCAGTTCGGCCATCTTTAAACTTTCGACATCATTCATGAACAACGCCCATCACTCATAAGCTGTTTCCATACACTCGACTCATTCTTCGATGAATTTCCACTGTGTTCCCTTCTGCCTGCAAGAAACGAATAACAGCTCGCAATTCACACTTCGCGGGAGAATCAATAACGACAGCCATGTATACGTGACTGCAACTCAACAGAAAATGGTGTGTTGAATACGCCAGTGACAGAGCGTGTGGAGGGGGAGATGCACAGTCGCCTACTACGCACACCAACCACCTACCGCATACCTGGCCATCATACTGTGCGATCGGAGGTTGAAAAAAAAAAAAAGAACATACGTATAATTTCTGCATGCCATCTTACCAGATTTAAATTAATGATCTAAAATCCGGAAAAGCCCCTAATCCGGAATCGCTGAAGTCCCGACGAGTCGGGATTACGGACTTTGTACTGTATTAAGGCCGGGTATTTGCACTGTCCTGTTAGACCTTACATACCTAACCTTTTACGATGTTTTCAATGCTAGTGATTTGGCCACTCAAAAATGTCCTGTCGTGGCAAACTCACATGCGCACGTTGCTCTGTGAAAGGCCATAACAGTGAAAATTCCAGTGCCAGCCCACTATGTGCAAATTGCAAAGGGGAGCATACGGCATTCTCTCGACTTTGCCCAAAATGGCAATCTGAGAAGGAGGTGCAAAATATAAAACTAACTAGAAATATTCCTTCTGCAGAAGCAAGGAAACTAGTAGCAGAGTCGCAGTCTCGAAAAACTGCAAGGGCAGTAAAATCGGTCAGATCCATAGCCACCTAGGCAATAAACACAAATAAACAACCAGTCCAAAATCGTCAACCAAATACACCAGCGATATCGAAACATTCAATAATAACAATAGAATATAATAAAGTGAAAGAAAACCTTATTAGAAACAAAGGAAAACCGAAGACATTAAAGCCTGATAGAAACATAAGCTCTTTTTTGAGCTGTAGCTCTGATCGTCTTGACTCAGAGATGGAGGTGGAAGAGGGTTGAACATCCCAAAGAACCTACTTTCACCTAAAACCAAAATGCAGCATAGGAAAGACAAAAATCAGACATAATGGCCACGCTCATTTCTTGGTATTGTTGAGGTTTCCATCAACATCTTGATAACATCAAAGACTTGATCAAATTGCATCATCCTGTACGTTTGGCATTGCAGGAAACTCTACTGAAACCAGAAAAGCAAACTAAACTTTGAGGGTTCTCAATTTTTAGGAAAGACAATATTGTAGGTGAACTTGCCTTTGGATGTGTAAGTCTCCTTTCCTTACTGGACTACCCAAGCAGTTCACTTCCTTCAACTACAAGCCTCCAAGCTGTTGCCATCCAAATAAATATAAGGACCTTGGTTTCAATTTGTTCTGTTTATTTGCCTCCAAATGCCCACATTGATCAAGGCGATTTGGATGGTCTAATAGAGCAACTGTCTGAATCTTTCTTCATAATAGGCAACTTTAACGGCCATAGTTTGCTTTTTGGTAACAAAGACACTAATCCTCAAGGTAGACAAATTGAGATAATGGTTGAAGATCATTTTCTTTGTCTCCTCAATAATGGAGAAGTTACCTACTTCCATGAGCCTACAAGGACTTTTCACGCTCTTGACCTTGCTCACCATCTCTTTTGCCCTTCTGCACTTTTGACTTTGGGAATGATCTTTATAACAGTGATAATTTTCTTCTTTTAGTCTCTATCACACGAGATGGTGTAAATCCCATGTCAAGATCTCCTTGATTTATACTTGAGAAGGCAGACTGGCAGCTCTTCTCATCTCTTACAGAGCTCACAGAAGAGATGGTGGAAGTTGTGGGAATCGATGATGTAGTGAAAGCCATTACTGATAAAATAATGCAGGCAGCTAGAGCCTCTATATCAATGGCATCGGGAATGATACGAAAATATTCAAAGTCATGGTGGAACCATGAGTATCAAGAAACCCTTAGAGAACAGAGAAAAGCTTGGGAAATTTTTCGTAGGTATCCACTTTGTCAAACCTCCTAGCCTTCAAAAAAGCGAAAGCAAATGCAAGAAAAGTACGATGAAAGAGCCAGAGGGATTCGTGGATACACTATGTGTCATCAATAACATTCTCTACTCCGAGTAAAAAGCTATGGGAGAGAGTTAGGAAAGGATGCGATATGTATAATGATCACTCACTTTCCATCTTGGAAAAAGGTGGCCGGGTAATTAGCACTCCGGAAGAAATTGCAAATGTTATTGATGAGACCTTTGGGGGCAGTTTCTAGTGGCAACAACTATCTGCCAGCATTTCTTTCCGTGAAGAAATACTCAGAGAGAACTCCCGTATCCTTAAACTCTAGTAACTCGGAGCCTCATAATAAAAGATTTCACTATGCTTGAGCTAAAGAGAGCCTTGCTTCAGATTCATAAATCTAGTATGGGTCCAGATGGTGTCAGCTATGAAATGCTGAAGCAGCTTTCCTCTATGGCATTGGTCGCTCTTCTCTCTCTTTAAAATCGAGTGGAAGGAGCACTGTTTTCCCAGTTTGTGGAGAAAGCTGTTGTCATTCCCATAACTAAAGCAGGCAAAGACCTGAAGAATCCCTCTAATTATCGGCCTATCGCATTGACTAGTTGTGTCTGTAAGTTGCTTGAAAAAATGGTAAATTATCGTTTAGTGTATTACCTAGAGAAAAACAATGTAATCTTCCCATACCAGAGTGGTTTCCGTAAAGGTAGATTTATGACTAACAATATGCTCGTATTGAAGACCTTTATTTGTGAAGCTTTTGTCAAGAGGAATCACCTTGTGTCTGTGTTCTTTGACATAGAGAAAGCGTATGACTAGACCTGGAGGTATGGCATTTTGCGAGATCTTCATGTCTGTGGCTTGCACAGCAATTTACCGATTTTCATACAAAATTTTTTGAGAACTAGGTCATTTCAGGTGAGGATTGGCTCTGTTTTCTCAGATGTATTTGAACAAGAAGAGGGTGTGCCTCAAGGCTGCATTTTAAGTGTTACTTTATTTAGTTTAAAAATAAAAACTATTTAAAATTAATTCCCCCTACTGTGTCGGGGTATATGTGGATGACCTCCAAATAAGTTGTCATGGTACAGATATGAGATTTATCGAGAGACAGTTGCAGATCACTCTTAACAGAGTTGAGAAATGGTCAGAAAAACATGGGTATATCTTTTCAAAGCAAAAGAGTGTTTGCATGCACTTTTGCCGAAAACGTAATTTGCATTTCCGGCTGGAGCTTCACTTTCAAGGTTCATCGATTCCTGTCGTACCAGAAGTAAAGTTTTTAGGAGTGATGCTTGACTGAAAGTTGACCTTCATTCCCCATGTCCTGTACTTCAGAAAGGTTTCAAAACACTGAATATTTTAAAAGTCTTGGGGGAACGCCTCCTGGGGTGCCAAGCGGGAATCAATGCTTTGCATTTATATGCTGTAGACTTTGTACGCTCTAAACTGGACTATGGGTCAGTTGTATATGGCTCAGCACGATCTTCCATTTTATTGAAGCTAGATCCTGTGCACCATCAGGCCTTGCAGATTTGTTCTGGAGCCTTCAGAACATCTCCAGTTCAAAGCCTTTATGTTGACTGTTATGAACCACCACTCCAGCTAAGACACGAGCAATTGTCCCTTCATTATTATTTCAATATCTTGTCACAACTGAACCATCCTTGTAAAGTTATGGTTGATGACATATGTGACCTCTTATTTGAAGCACGACCGTCTTGTATTCCTACCTTCTCCTTACAAGTTAGTTCATTAATTAAAAAATATTCCATGTCTGACTTGCTAGTAAAGCAACATCCAGCTAGTAAAGCATTTTGAAATACCACCTTGGGAAAATGTACAAATTCGCTGTCTTGATGTTTCCACCCATCTGGATAAAAAAAGCACTAATGAGATAATGTATCAACAACTTTTTTTAGAACATAGACAAAAGTACATTAATTATATTTCTGTATATACAGATGGATCGAAAGCAATCAACCATGTTGTAATGTCTTTCGTAATTGAAAATGATATGGTGGGAAGATGACTAAATGATAATTGTTCAGTCCTGACATCTGAATTGACTGCAATTTATTTTGCTGTTTTATCGATATCTAGATGTTGTCGAAGAAAGTTTATTATCTATTCTGATTGCAAACTTAAGTAGCCGTGGATATGAAATTCTTTATTGCTGCGTTTCCGGACATGTAGGAATGAAAAATAATGAGTTGGCAGATAACACAGCTAAAGCTGCTGTTGAGGATTCCAGTCAACTTGTTCCTCTCAGAGCTATCAGCAAGACCATCAAGCAGAAAATTTTAAATAAATAGCAAGAAATCTGGAATGCACAATCAAATAATAAGCTAAGAAGTGTGAAGCCTAGAGTGCTATTTTAGGCAAGCGCTCGAAACCGAAGAGAAGAAGTACTCTTGACTCGCATTCGAATTGGCCACTCACAGTTACCTTCTCGAAGCAGAGAGTGAGCCAATTTCTCCCTACTGTGTTAGCATTCTATCTGTGTGTCATTTTTTAATAGAGTGTCCGAATTTTAATAGACTTAGGCTAAAGCATTTTAACGAGTGTGACTTACCTCTTGACAGATTAATCGGGAAAGACGTCAATAATAATTTATTTCCATACCTGAAAGAAACAGGTTTTTATTATTTAATTTGATTTAGCTTTTAATATAGTGTAATTTTAATGTGTTCCATTTTATTTGTGGAGTTTTAATACCTATTTCATCAATTAATTATTTCATGTAGATTTTATAACATTGCTATTTGTTGTTTTAAATTTGTGTTTCATATAAACTTTAGTTGGGAACGAAAGCTACCTTTGTCTAAACTAATGTGTGTTTGGCACATATGTCTTTTACTTTAATAAACCTCGTTTTTATACTTATTTTTTAATTCTAGAAACAAGGATTGCAGAAGCACAGCAGGCTATTTTAGACAAAAAAGCTGAACTTCAACAATCAAAGAGGGTCAGAAAAAATAAGCAACGTAAGTAGTTTAGTTAGCTTTTCATGGAAAACCTTTAACTTTGGTTCTCAAGTAGTAACTTACTTATTACTTTTTTTTTTTTTTTTTTTTTTTTTTTTTTTTTTTTTTGACACATGTATTGATGCAAATTTAGAGCTCTGCTGCATTTGAAACTTCTAAACCATACAAGCTTTTAACCTCTTTGCAGAAAATTGAACACATTAATCATTTAGCGTATTGTGTGGTCTTCAGCAGCTGAACCATAAAGCAAACATAAATTGGCTGACATCTAAATCTTCATTTTTGTAATGATACTAATTATTAATTTAGATTTCAAACAACAAAAATCAGTATTGTATTTGCAAATGTTCACAAGGACTAGTTTTGGTAGTTTTACTGAGCCAACATTCTCAGCTGCTGGCACATTCAGTAAATGGAAATGTTCAGCAAAATTGGAAGGCCTACCAAAATAGCAGAAATAGATGAAAAGCTTTTTACAAAGTGCAAAAACAAAGCGGATCGAATACTGATTGTTTATTAAATAAAGAGACATCATTTCCTTCAGAATTCTGCTGGAGCGATTGCCGTAACTTTGGCAAAATCTACGCCATCTTTTATAGTTTAATGTTAGCCAACTTGCATGGTCAATGGGTAATATGTAAGTATCCTAGCTTTCTCCTTATAGAAAATTAGAATTTATATGCAAGAGGAAAAAACATTTTGTGTAAGAAATGCATTAATTGAACTTTCTTGTGGAGAGATAATGAGAATAAGCTTAAACAGGGTTCGTATGGTCCTTAAGAGTCCTTAAAAGTCCTTAAGTTTTCTGGAATCGATTTTTGGTCCTTAAAAGTCCTTAATTTCGGCCAAAATCGTCAGAAGGTCCTTAATTTTAATCATCAGAAATTTCTGTGTTTTTACGACTGCCATTTTAAGTGTGAATTTACATTTTAGTGTAATATTTTTGTTGATTTGCTGATAAATATGGTTATCTTTTAAATGGGTTCATGGATTATAATTTGTTCCTATTTCTAATATTAAATGGTGGGATACTCGAGTTTCTGAGCAGGAAGTGAAACATGAACATTTCAAAATTATTTCATTTTTTCTAATGAAGATTAAACAACTTTTTGCTTTTTGGGCTGTGAATTCTTTTATTAAACGGTCTTCAACGGTTGCCAAATAAATTTGGCGGCTTATCATAATTTTGGCGATTTTAAGATCTGTTTCTGTAGAAAATTTTTAATTCCAAGATCTAGGATATTTTCGACAGTTTTTTTTTTTTTAGAACATTATAACATTGATAAATTTCATTTAAATAATAGTAATATTTTTGAATTATATTTATGAGATAAGATTAAAATAAAGCATCCGGCGCAATTTAAGCTCTGGAAGAACAATGAAAACATTATAGTTGAATGTATTCCTTTTGATGCTAGAATCTTTTTTCTAACATTTTAATCTTCCCTTTATTTTCTCTACTTTTCACTAGATATAAACATAGAAAATATCAAAAATGCTTCTAATCTTATCATATGGACAGGCGTTATAGAAAGGAATTATTTTATTAATAAAGATATTAAAAATTGAAAATTTAAAAGATTCATTTAATATATCTTAATGCATCACACACAGGGCTGGCACTAGGCACTTTCCCATCTGATGCAGTCTCTGTGGATCGTAAATTCTGCTGCCTGGTGCCTTTCTAAATTCTGCTTCCAATGCCTGTTCTAAATGCTAAACGTTTTGCCATTTCTATACTTTATTACTCAGTGTGTCACTAAATTCTAAAAAATTATGCCACATCAGCTCTCTAACTATATATATTTCATATTTCTTCTGAATGTTCATGTTACTAAAGAAATAAAATTAACAGCTTTTTCTATACATTCTAAATGCATTTAGTTTATTTAGAATATCAGAAATCTCTAATTAAATCCAAAAATTCTAAAATGAAGAGGAAACGTGGAAGAAAGAAACTGAATACATAAAGAAAAACAAATTTATTCTTCAAAGATATGTACAGTTATTGTTATGTAAATTACCCAATTGTTTACATTTCAGCCCTTACTATAATTTCCCTTTCTATTTTCTCACCAGAATGCAAATCACGTAGACAGTTTTTAAACCGAGATTTTTGGAGTGTAAGACAAGAGTGTGTTTCTGACCTCCACTTGCTCACTGCATTAGTTCCTGCACATTCTGATAATTTGTAATTATTCGTCTTGGATTACCGATGGCAACATTTAAGTTTGTTATGATGATAGAATTATTGAGTAAGCCTAAAATTAAATTAAATTGTATAGTCTTTGACTACTAATCCATATTTTTAGTTTGAATTTGACTCTTCTTGTTTCATTACATCACTTCGAGCTGTAATCGATTTTGTTAGCACAAGAACATGCCTTTATTTTTTAAGTTCTTTTTAAATAAGAATCTTAGGTTGATCTTTGGATTATGTTAACTTGGCGATTTTTTGGCGACCAACTCTGCACAGCAACACTC